TGGTTGTGAAGGTGTTGCGAAATCCGCCGAAACGTCAGCTTTTACGTGAGTGGGGAAGTGGAATAGCACCTCGTGTTTGCTGAGCAGAAGTGAAAAGAATTGTTCAATCAATGCCGAGGTTAATAGAAAGTCGAACGTAGGAGCTACTACAAGAAAAAAACTCAGGGCGAAAAAGTTTATAATCAAAACGAGGGCGTTATTGAGACTAAGTACTTTGGAGCTCGCATGGTTGCAATAGTAAACTTCCAGTGTTTACAATCCTCACGGCACTTTTAATTTCCCACGAAGTTGTTAAGAAGCATTACGAAGACCCACATCTTAGAAGTGAATGGCTGTAGTTGGACACCGAAACGCTAGCAGAATAAGGGTTTTTACAACCTCGTATAGGCTCTGTAATGCAAAAGTATATTAATCCTTCACGCTGAAGCTAACTAAAAGTACGTTTTAAAGAGTCCTAGAAGGACTTCATGACAGATTGCCCTGATCGTTTTGCTGAACGGAGATCATCTCATTCAGTTCTTCTCACGTCTTTGCGTGCCTTCGTGTTCAGTTGGACAACTCTGCGTTTCATTCATATTCAGTCCTTTTCATCAGCTTATCGCTCTTATAACCCTTTCTTAGCAGTCGCAGATGTCACGTTTTTAATTGTTAATCTGTTGAAGTTTTTTTTTGCGTTAATTTGTATAAGTTTGTGTATATTGTATGTTATATATTATAATTCACCGTATATTGTGTTGTTAATTTGTTATTATTCTTGTTATTCATGTTATAATTTTGTCATATATCCTAATGTACTACCACTTTTTATCCTGATATTATATGTTGCATGTTGCATAATTCCTGCATAGTTTCTGCATGTGACGAGTATACTGCGGATGAAATCCTGTCTAAACGTAAGCAACCGATTGAAGGTGACCACGAGCTGCTTGTCAAAAGACTAAAAACCTGTGTCGAGTTGGCGTCAGTTTCTCAAGCAGGAAGATCAGGCCTCATCACTATATTTGAGAGTAATAAATGTCTGCTGAAAAACGGCTTTGCGGGAAGATCTCCATTAGCACGGGCGAAAGAAACTATTAGAAGCAGCACAAAATGAAGCAATCTAAAAAAATGCTGTTGAGACTTGTGCGGTTGTAGTGTCCCTCTTTCAGCGCTGATAGGCGAAGAACTGATCACTAAAACTTTCTACCCTGGTATGAAATTAGTAACGGAAAACATCTAGCTCAACCTTTACGTTTTACAGTTCTCGTCCCATACTCTACAATGCACGCTGGAAAAAAATCACTTGGAATTCCACCCACTGAGATTCGATTTGCAATAAAAATATGAAGAAAGCACGGCTTCAGCGCCTGATAATGTTACCGCCAACATCATTAAAATCGTGCTACTATCGGAAGAAAAAACTCCCAAGCCACTAAAGAACACTGTTATCCTTTCCAGAAAAGATGGCTGAAGAGGTTTTCGTAACTATCGTCCGATATCCTCGTTGAATGTGAACCGCAAGCAGTTCACGAAGATATTCCTGTCAAACATATGAAGCACATTATATGAGGCAAAACCTGTCCATCAAGCAGAATTCCCAAAAAGATTCTGCTGCATGGATAACAACGTGTAACGGGTAATAGATGACTGACGGAAGCAAGATCTAGCTATTGTTCTAAGCTTTATTGACTCGAAAAAGGTGAATGACAGCGTCGAAACGAAAACAATCCTATAAGCGCTTATCAATCAAGGAGTATACACCCTCTTCATAAGAACTTCATCCGACTGTTGTCGAAACTCCAGGACTAAAATATAGTTTTTCCATCGGCCCATTACAATACCCATAGGAAATGCGGTTTAATTAGGCGACACCGTATCACTCAAACTGTTTAGCGCCATACTGCAGTGGGTAATGAAATCACTCTATTGGAATGAGAGAGGCATACATATCGGTAGAAAATTCCTATCAAACCTTCCGCCGACGACGTCATCATTTTCTCAAGAAGTAAGTTAGTTCGAAAGCAAAGAAATCTCTCGCTTGCCTACATACATAGAGCGATAGATAAAATCTTGTCGACGTTTTCGGATTCACATTTCCTATGAGGTGTTGTCAAGTTTCGACTAGTATTGCAAGGGCTTCTGCATAAACTCGGGACCAGTGTTGATTGTTAGCATCGAGCTTTCCAATTTAGGTTACTTTTGACAAGGTTGGCTCTTTTTTCTTTTGTTTTGTTTCATTGTTTTGTGTTTTAATACAATCGCGTGCATGCACGTACGTAGTTCATAGCACGTAAGTGATTTTGAAATGAACCACTCTTATTTGTATTCTCTTCGCGTTGTATCCTTGCATGGTTTTTCCTACCCTCGTAATACCATTATGAAAAACTTCAATATCAAAAACAAAAATGGTTTAATGGATTGTGAACTACTCCAAGAACATCACCTCCCTCAAATGGCTTGCGAATTGCTTAAGCGAAAAGAAGCGACTTGGTCTGATTTGTTGGGTAAACTTGGAGAACTGTAAAAGAATTTGACGTCAAAGACTATTCGCTTAGTCAGACAGCACTTATTCAGATAGTAGAAAACTTACATACTTGCATACTTCGATATTTGGACGATACGTCCTAACGACTCGTGTGGACCCCAACACATTTTCTTTTCGTTTATTTCCCTCACAACCGTCGCTCGTGGTGGTGGTTTGATTCGAGTGTAGTGCGAATCTCACACCGTGATCTGTAAAACAGCTGTGACTGAGAGCAGAGCCGTTTGACTTTGGTTACGACGACGCCCACCTAACGTGTAGGTGGCCCTCTTAGGGGACGTTTCCATCATCGTTGAGTCTAGTCCAAAGTTATTTTCGTCCTTTTGTCGTCTGTTCTTCTCATTATGATGTGAGCGGTACGTCTATGCTTCGCTATAAATATGTGTTTTTCCGGTTCCCGAAGATGAGATAGATTTCGAAGATCATGGTTTCACATTCCGTTTAGATGCTGTGGTGAAAATTACATTTCACAAAACAACGTTCAAGCACTTTATTAGGAGCTCGCAGTATTCCTGACGTAGTTGAATTATCAGCCCACATCTCTGGTGTGTAACAGAGCGCTGGGTAGGACCATTGATTAAAGAAGGTGAGTGCGGTTTTTCGGATCCCTCAGTTGGTCGGTGGCTTCTTTGAGAGGCACACATTGCGTACAATTTGCTTCCCTTCTTTTGCATAATTCCTGTTTCATGTTGTTTAACGACATTTATAAAGAAAACGAGGTTTGAGACCGGATGGTGTAGTGGTGAAGTGCGCTGCTCTCCGGTAAGGACAACGGCACGTGTTCGTTCTCCACTGCATACACCTGTGGTCCGGAGTTTTGCAGACATCTCAGCACTTCATACGAGTTATATTTCACAACATACCCTGCCATTAAGAAGAAAAAGGCAGTAAATAAAAGAGTTAAAACGAGGTTTCTCAAGCGCACCGAAACGTCATGCGAAAACTACGAAGAGCTTCATGAGTGGGGTATGCAACGAAACGGATCGAATCCAAGAAATTCCAGAATCCGCACAGTAGATTTAACATGTTGGCATGTAAGAAGGAAACCAAAGGAACCTGTAAGCATTAACCACTCTACCGCACTCTCTATGTGGAAAATCGAAATGTTAAAAAAAAAACAAAAATTTAACTATGCACAACACTACGTTGAGAAAAGTCTGAACAACGTGATGAAGGATAAAGCGTTCGGTACTGATCAATCCATGTGGGATGCGTAGTGCATCCGACTTCATAAAGCTTAGTTAGTAATTGGCAGACGCCAAAGGATGGATCATCTAAAGACCACGAATGTATTGCAGAGTACCTCTACTGCTCTAGCCGCTCCCAACATCAACTTGATACTTCAGAATTAAACAGGGCAGTTGCTGAGAAACCAGGAAAGAATGAGAATTCACGGCAACCGTAACAGAAACATAGAATGAACATCACAAAAAATTTCCACATCTTGGTAATATTCCACATCTTATTCTTGTTTCATCTTTTTTAATCTTCCTGACTACCGTTTCCGCCTATTATTTTATCACTTTGATAAAGATCCAACTTTTTATTCGTCTTTCAGAAAATTTGAGTCTTCCGTGCCTCCTCTCCACGAGGCGACATGGTTAATGACGTAGCTCTTCCAACTTGTTTCGAACTGACTAAAAGGGAGAAATGTTATGCTGAGAGCATAAGTTCAATGATGATCAGCTGAGCTTGCCTTATTTTTCTTCGTACACACTCGGTTTTGTTTCGGTCATTCTTTTCCCAAATTTCTAACAAGTTCTGAATTTAGCCATTGCAATCCTGTTGGAGGCACCTGCGTTGGGTACTGAAAACCCTGCGATTTCATCCCCTATTTACTCACAGTTCGGACACTGATACTAATCCGTCGGTGATACGCGACATGTTTGCAGATATCACTGCTGCGACGTTGCGGTTTCGAGGTACATTTTATTTCTTCTTTTTAATTTTTCTTGTATTCTTTCGTACAATCATTTTTAGACTAATGAAAGATAAGGCCAGTGAGAGTAGAGCATGCGGGAACGCAGGAGTTGTACTGAGAGATCAAAATTTATTTGCTGACGTACTATTGTTTACCAGGAGACAGGTGGCAATAACCAAGATATTATACGCTAAAGATCACATTAATTATAGATTATATTAATCATATAGATTATATTATATTAAAGGTTAGTCCTTCAGTTAAGGCGGCTTCCAATTTGCAGACGCAAAAGGATGGATCATCTAGAGGCCACAAATGTATTGCAGAGTATACCCAACTGTTGCATTAACCGTAACATCAACAATGTGACATCTTAGAATTAAACAACGTAATTGATGAACAACTGCTTATTCGCGGATATCATAGGAGAAACAAACGACGAGCACCAAATAAAGATTTTCGGCAAAATTTGGTAGGGTCAGAACAAAGAACAAAGTAATTCTGAAGCGAACAATGAGTAGATACCAACAACATTATACCTGCTTAACATTTAATTTTTTACTGCTGTAATCGGCTTCTCTTCATAGGTGGAGAGTTCTTGTGATCTGAACGAATCACACGGTCCATTATCGAGCTGCAAAATCTCGGATTGCGATCCACTAACGCGGACCATGCTTCCGTATCCAATACAACACATTTATTGGCTTTAATCTAAAACAGGTTACGGCTAAGTGGTTTGATAATGACAAGAACTAAGTTGCTGTGTTTCTCTCAAAAAAAAACCACGTGCTCTATATTTGCTATGGAGCGCTTTTATGCAAAAAAAAAATGGAAGAAAAAATTAAAAGCCCTCTGTATGATGTTTACCCTTGAAAGTATGTAAGGAACCTTCAAAGCACTATGGAATTGAGAAGTCTTTAAGACAAAGTGTTACACTTGATATGCTTAATTTATCTTAGCAAATACTGCTTTACGCAATCATGAACATCTTAACAAACGCAAAAAATAATGGTGTGTTGAACACAAAGCAAACAAGAAGGAACGATATTGGCTACTCACAAAATCAAGGCAGTGCTTGTACAAATAGTTCGCTTGATGGAAATCAGCCAACTCCAAACAGTCAATAAGATTTGCAGAACAAACTCTAAAAAGGAAATTACGCAAAAAAAACCAGCAGAATAACCTCTATCAAATTAACGCACTTTCCTGTCACACCTTTTAAAGCAGCGTCTCATCTATTTGACGGCAATAAAAGAACATTAGATCAACATAAGTTGGCTTCACATACCTCGGAATAAGGTTTTTCTCACACATTGTCTTAAGAGCGGGAATATTGTACTTTTCTGACAATTCTAACACGTCAGAAGCCTCCTACAATTTGCTACATAAATGTGGTGATTAGAAACTCCTAGTACAGGCTATTAACAGATTGGCAAAAATACCTTCAAGTCTAAGTCCTGCAGAGAAATTGAACCCGTATAAATAAAAAGCAGCATAATTCTCACCGCCGCAGCAGAGAATTCGTCGATCACTATCATATTTCTCTGAAATATGATCAGACTTTCGTTAACAAATACTATTGGCCACTATTCCACAAAAGAAAACATGTGTTCTAAGAGCGATAACACATCCAATGAGCATAAACGCTGGCTAATTGAAAACTTTTAAAAGCCGGTCAGTTCGTAACCCTTTACATGCCCGTCTGTGCTTACGGCGGAATTGCATAATTTGCACTTACGGTAGGGGCGGTGATTGCATGGGTTCGGGTACAACGTGGCTGATCTCTTCTAAAGTGTGCGGAGACGAATATTACAGGAAGAGAGGTAGACGACCACTCTGTGTCTATGAGAATGAACACCGAGACGGTGAGCACAAGCTCACCAACCTTGCACATTAGTCTAAAAGTTCGGTGCGTAAAGCTCTCGAAGCATTCTCAATAAGATCTACGAATCCAAAAGTGAACAACAACGATAAAGCCTTATTCTCACGCAAGGCGTCACACAGTATCTGAGCCTGATAGTTTGAAATCAAAGTAGCATATTAGTCAACCATGTAAATGCACGGTTGGTGTCCACATTTAATACTCAATAGAAGACTCAGAGAGAGCAGTGGTTGTGTGAAGAAGTTGTTTTATATCTAAGGCGATTGAAAAAGAGATATCGTGGTTTTCCTCGTGAGATTGTGATAGCATTTAGACAAATAGAGTTTAATTAACTTAACCTTTGCAAAGCTCTGAAAAAGGCCAAATCCGCTGAAACGTCAGCTTCTCTTAATAAATGAAAAGTAAACAGCAACGATCACGTGTTTGCCTACCAGGAAAACAGCTCGCAAAACCTTTCCGAATTTGAATGAGTGTTCTTGTTCAGTTATACACCTACCATAAAAACGATCTGTTCACAAACAGGCAACTATAAAGAGTTCTGCATCGATGTTACTATTCGTCTTTTTCTGTCCGACATGCTACAAGCGAAGCATAACATTGAATGGCGCGCTCAGCACTACTGTATTCTCAAAGCTGCAGTAGAAATTAGCTCTTAGTTAATTCGAAACCCAACAAATTGATATACCTGACTTTCTTCCACATTATGTTCGAGCATTGTACGAAAAACATCTGAATGAGCGATAAGTTTGTATTTGTGGACAGCAAACACCATTCGATCGCGACCGAACCCAGCAACAACATTAATATCGGAATACGGACAGTTCTCCGCTTCCGTAAACATTGCGCGCTCTATAACTGCTATTTTGAGGCCATATAATGAGAAAATAGTCATTCATGCACTCTACTTTCTATTGTGTACTAGTTTCCATTCACTTTATTAACGATACAAGATAAGTGGTGGGAAAAATGCTCGACCGTCGTGAAATATGAGGAGGATCCACTTCACTATTTTTTAACACTTCATCTTTTAATTGTGAATAATTTAATACCGTTGTTACAGCAAAACATAAAAACCTCACGAGATTTGATAAAGTGAGCTTATTCCGCAACATAAAGAAATTATGTAATACTTACCGTTCTGTTTATGAGCTCGAGACACTTGCACATTTTCCACTATTGCCATAGTATTTAGCTGCGCTATCCTACCAGGCATGCGACCAGCATCTGATAGATAAGCAACTGTGACGGATAAAACCAAGGATTGGTCCGCTCGCAGGTAATTTTTGATCTGAATAAATAGTTATAAGTAAGTGAAAAGATTCAGATTCACGTGTATTCTAGGATATTTGCCCCAATTTCTTCGATCATATCTCAAATTTCTACCTACCTTCGCAAGCAAAGACACCATTGTGAAGAAGGCGGCAAAATGATGTCAAAAAGAAGATTGGTAATAAATGTTGGCAAACCTCCTTTGCAGAGATGTTGAGCAAATTCCGGGAATCCACACCCTCAGATGGCTTCACATGGAAATCAGCAATGTTAAGTTTACTAAACATATTGTCATTATCATCATTCAAGAAACAGATGCGGCAGTTTACTTTGGCGACCATCTGAAATTTCCATAATTGCGCACATAAGCTCGACTTCTTAAAATGTACACAAAGATACCTCTTCCATGCGAGATACAGCAAACATCTTTAAGAACAATGATACCATATTTGCGCTGTCGGGGAAGTTGGCTCCAGGATGGATGCACAATTGCCAGGAGACTTCAGGGTTTCGAGGATAACTGATAGCAAAAAACACGCAAAGATATCACATAAAACAAATATCTCCAAAAAAATAAAAAATGTGATTAACTAACTTAAATGGTGCACTACGAACATGCAAACCAGGTCGGGAAAATTCCAGCAACGACGGAAAGTTCCTTACCTGAAAAGAAGATATGAGAAAAGGCAATATTAATTGTGTGTAACTAGAAATTACCGTCCATTTCTGGGTGACTACAATAGGTTCAACGATTGTTATAGGTTCGTTTGTTAGCGATGATGGTGATGACCGCGCCTGCTCATCATATTCACTTGAATATAGTCTCGACATTAGGGAACTTTGGTCTCGAACACGACGTCCACTCCTGTCTCTCCAACCACAAATTTCTGACGACATAGATCTACGAGAAAATACAGATATGTCAACTGAAAAAATGATTTCACATGTAGAACAAAAACAATTCTTCCTATTATTTGTAGACTTGCGTGGAATCAAATAAAATGAATGCATGGAATAAACTGAATGAAACGACATCGAAAAAGTAGGAACTATTAAAATGTCCACCGCCTGGGATGGATCCTTAAACTTTTGCGGCGGGTAGTGGTTGTTAAACTATATGCTCTAACGAACCAAGAAATTTCATGTATTCCGCAAAAAAATTGCAGTATGGAAATTTCAGAGTCGGGAAAGTATTTAATCCGAATCTCGAGATGCGTTATGACCTCGTAAGCCGCAGTCTCGGCTATCTACCTATAGTGGCTAAAAGCGAACAAATTAACTACGGGAAAGAAAACAGTAGATTAATCTATCCTACTGTACCGTTATGATTAAAACTGGCAGCCTAAATCATCAAAATTACGAACACTTACAAATTTATGCTTTTTATGCTTTTCTAAACGTCTTCGTAATAACAGTGATCATGTCAAAGAAAAGACGCGCTACCAAATATGAAAAACGCGAAGTTAAGTATAAGTGAGATCCTTTCTTAAAAAGATAAATTTATTTTTTAAGAGCAACAGGAAACAACATGTCCACAACACCTACGGCGTTCAGACGCAATAGTTTTCGGAGCTTTGAAAATAATAATTCAGGGTCAGTAAATAGCTGTTGGAGCCGAGTCTCTGTAACTCGTTAGTCAACCCTATCCAAAACAATTTTTATTAAACTACATGGATTTACGAAAACAAAACACCAGAAATAACAAACATAAAAAGCGCATCAAAAGGTGGAAACTATAAGAACGTTTCGACATGCGCGTCACTCCAGTGACGCTGCTTCCTAACGCGAAGTATCCTGTTTAGGACTGAAGTTACGTTACCGCGTTAAAACACGTTAGAGCGTTCCAGTTAGGACATGGCAATGAGAAAACAATACAACAAGAATATAGAAGGTTATACATATATAAGCATAAATGTATAGATATTGGCCTCTAGCAGGAAATTAACAACACCGCTTGCGAAGTCGGTGCCTGGCAGTTTATTAGTTCATCAGCCGTAGAAAAGCAAATGACAGTCGAGTGGAAGTTCACCTCTCTTCTACACGTTCTTCGAAACCTTCCTTGATGCCTCTCCTGTTATTTAAATGACCACATCAATGCAAACGGTGTGTAAATAATGGCCGCTTCGAATATGAGACATCGCATCTCTGCCCATGTAAAGTTTAATCAATTCCATTGAACTCCAATAGAATAGAATCTAACAATCTGTTCCCATAAAGGTCATCTTTTCTTGTTCAAACACGATAAATTCAGTACAGTAACCATAATTCATACCGCAAAAAGTGGAGCAATCAATGGTTTTGGACGCAGCTGAGATTCGCTATAAATTTCCTTATTCATGTTATGCGACTTATTTAAGAATGCTCCTGAAGCCCTTGCGTGTGATCTTACCAAGGCCACATTTAGCCGGAAGTTTTAACCAACGAAAATTCTTTGCGAGCACAGGAGACGAGATGGCGTCCTACCGTCGTGCACAAAGGAAGCAGCTAATGATATGTTGTTTGGTTAAATTATTAGCACACAATACGTACACCTATTTACACATGTACTTAATCATATTTCCTCGAAGTTGTTGCCTTATGAAATTAATCGTTGCCTGCCTTGAATTGTCCTCAATGGCTTACGTCTTCCAAGATTCAATAAGATGCTGGCACTATGCCATGGCGGCAAACCACGATTTCCCTGCACCCGTCTGTACGCTGTGTCTGCCTTCTCCTCTTCTTCAGTGTTACACACGCATGACGCTCATCCATGTGAAGATTCAAACCACAGTATGCCCCGCCCATCTGTAAGCCGTACCTGAGGTCTGCTATTGATTTATATACTCATGTCCATTTCCGATCTCGCCTACCCCCAACCATAGTTTCGAAGCTAATATTTTATAATAACAGTGTTTCTTCTTCAAATTACTTAAGCAGTACTACGGTAGATGCCATTGATGGTGCTCCTCGTTGCTCTCTATATCATCGCTACTTATTTATTTCGCCCTTCTTTAAAGCTCCACATCTACGTCCTCATTGTCATTATGTCGTCAATGCTGCACTCATATTTTTGTCTGCAAAAGTTCGATTACCCAAACTTGGGATCTCGCGCTATGGCAAAACTGGAATAACCAGCGTGTCTGGACGTAACGTGCAAACGAGCTGCTTCAGTTCAACGGCCTAACTCCTGGGGAATTTACGCATCATAATTTTAAAAGTTGGTCTTGCGACACGTCGTACGCAAATGTTTTGGTTTTGGTTTCACAAAGGTTCACAAAGGTTTTGCGAGCTGTTTTCCTGGTAGGCAAACACGTGATCGTTGCTGTTTACTTTTCATTTATTAAGAGAAGCTGAC